ACTAGAGCCAAGCCAATCGGTGTGATGGGCATTAAAGTTACTAACAACAACGATATTGGCCGATGGATAAAGAGAGAGGGCTTGGTCAATTTGATCAGAAATAACATCAAGAATAGTGCAATCTTGGGATGAAGGAGAGCGATATAGAACAAAGAGAAAGGCGATAGAGTGAAGTTGTGCTAAACGGAAGCACATAAATGAATAGTCTGGAGATTCAAACCTAGTTTCACGACAAATGGGTGAGTTCTTACGAATGTAGATGCCCAGGCCAAGCATGTGATTATTGGAGTCTTTACGAATTAAATGAAGATAACCATCAACACTAAGATCACAAGATGGGACAGCCGAACTCAAATTAGTCTCACAAAGAGCAAGTAGGTCTGGTGAACTTAGCAAGAGATAAGACTCAACAGAAGAAAAGTTACTTCGAAGACCACGAATATTAGTAAATGATAGGTTTAGAGAACTTGGTGATGACGATGGTTTTTTGTGTTTATTAGTTTTAGGTACTTTAGTCATTTTGAATTTATAAAGAACTTGACTCAAGTATAGATAGTACTCAGTACACTATTTAACAACTAAGCAATAGCCTCATTACTATTAATAAACCCTAAGCCGTAGCAAAGGGCTCCAAATGTGGCCTCTGCAATGCACACCAAAAGTACAAACAGGGACACCATCCATACGCAACATGGCACTGTTAGTACTCTGATATTTTTCGGCTGTTGATGAAATCAGCCTCTCTGAGAGCTACCACAGAGTTCAGGAAACCTGACTACCAGCCGGCCTCAGAACCATAAAACTGAGTTTTAGAGCTGTACCCTCATTAGGAGATAATAGAATGAGTTGCCCAGTCATAAAAATAGAGACACAAGCAATACCCACGCATTGAGTCAAGAAGATCCAGCGTTCAACATCCTAAACTGGAAACAATGTATTAAAAATACATCTGCGCCAGCCTAATAGATGAGGAAGAGGTGCGAGGCTGGTCAACAGATAGAATCTGTTTACCCCTTAAGTTATACCCCTTAAGTTATACCCCTTAACTTATTGTTTCCAAGAGAGGATACAGTTTAACAAGCATTATCAACTCAAGTTTGTTGCAATTTTAAGTATCTCTCTACACATGTTTCCGTCAAATATTCCTCCATGTAACCTTTTTGTAAGTATCCAATGCTCTTGACCCAATCAATAAATCCAGACCAACGCTGTATTATAAATTCTGCCTCATTATTTACAAATCCCATCAAAAGGTGAAGTTCTGGTAATGAAATACTTAGAGATTTGTCTTCTCTCTTGAGCACACAATGATTAATGACTTTCAAAATATATGTAAATAATAATTAATATATGTAAATAATAATTAAAAATGATAAATTTGTGATAAATGATTTAGTTTTAAAATATTTACAATATACTTATTTATTTATACCTTATATTCCTTCATTTTTTTCACCAGAGGTCCTGCAAACGAATACAGTTCATAGTAACCATGTAAAGATTGAAGTGATCTTAACTCTACATCACACCATGCACAAGTATACTTTTCTCCATGAGCCTACAATTTTTTATAATAATTCAGTTTATAACTATATTATTGAGTAAAAAAAACAACCTATTCCTCATTAGTGTTTACCTCTTATGTCTTATTATCTTAAAACAACATACCGAAATTCCTAGCAATATGTTGATTAACTTTATGTCAGAAGCTAATGAGTACTTGCATTCATTCAACTTCAATTTTTCCACTATTTATGTCATGTTAGAATGATTCTCACTTACCCTTTTTAATTTAAATTTAATAGTTCAGTATACTAAAGATTGACAGATCAGCAGTAGATTTATATAGGAATATACCTATTAATCTTTAGTTTACTGAACTATTAAATTTAAATTAAAAAGTTTATTTTCTACTTTTTAGTACAAAAAAGATTATATTTTTTAGCAAATGTTTTTGCTATATTTTATTTTCTACTTTTTAGTCTTTTCAGAGAGTTACAATATTTAGCAATGCATTTGTCAACCCATTTGTAATTAAATCGAGCTTTTTATCCTTGTTAAAGAAATGTAGTATTTCCTGTTTAAAGGATTTTTTTTTTTTTTTAAAGGATAAAACTTTTTTATATAAAAGTAAAATAACAAAAATTTATTTTACTTTTATATAAAATTTAAATAAAATATTTTTTCACGCTGACATATCTTCGTTCTTCCCAAACTCACCTTACTCTCAATCCATAGAGCGGGTAATGACACTCCTTTCGGAGCTGACCTTGTCTTTGTGGCCTCTGTATGGCCATTAGCTGGAGGAGGACAAACCACAATACCAAAGAGTCGTTTCAAGTGAAAGAAAAGATTATACTATTTAGCAGATTTTCAATGTGAATTTTCTAAAAATGTGATACCTTCCAGATTTTTCTAAATATGAAAATGAAGTGTCTAGATACCCCACTTACTATAATTATTAACATTTTTGGGATACTCGGATAGTAGACTTCAACCTTATTTTTCAGAGCTGTGCAAAGTTCGCATTAAAAATATGAATAAAATATTTCAGATAATTTAAACTTGTCTATTGCTATAAATTTTTATCTATTTAATCTATTGTTATTAAATTATTATCCTTAATAATATTCTGTAAAAAAAAATATTTTGTATTATGTAACTTTTTCACTACCTGAAGTGGCTGACAAGTCACTGGTAGCAGCTTTTAAGTATGCTTCACAATTTATCTTGTTTTGTGCATAAATTTTCATTCTAAACAATATAATTTGTTAGTTCTTAAGGTTTAATTAATTCTTTATATAATCAATAACAAATAAGAATCATATTGTGTAATTGTAAAAAGTTATCACTTGACAAAGTTAAAAAATCTTGAGTAATCCTTGATTAAAAAAACTTCCTTAAATTTAGTTCTAAAATAAAGCATTAAAATCTCTTTCTTATTGTAGGATTTAATTTTATTTACGTTAATATTTGTATATATTTGATGATGTGTTTAAATTGGGATCCTTTTCCGCTAACAAAGGGCTTTGGGGTCGTATAAATACTTTATACGTTTTTCACCCCCGCCTATTTTTTTTTTTTTTTTTTATATAAAAAAATTTGGTGGAGGAGGTACCCTTGATACTTTTAAAGTATCGAGGGTCTCCTCCACCTTATTTTTTTAATTAGGGGGGGGGGGATTTATGAAAAATGTACATACTTTTTAAGGGGGTGGGGACTTAATAGTAACCATAGCAACAGGAGTGTGGGGTGTCAAATTTTAGAATTTTACTTTATGGACGACCCCATATTTAAAATTTGTGAATTTAATCTAAATGCCATCTTCAAAACAACATAAATTTGACTAAGAACTTCACGTACTTAACAGTGAATGGAAAACAAAACACTTATTTTGTGAATTTAATTTGGTACCAATATGTTTAATATGTAATAAATCTGTTTTAATGTACAAAAAAATATAATTTAAGAAGGTACTTATAATCAGTTTGTTAAAATGATATGGAGAAATGGAGATCATGAAGTCTTATATTTTATATCAAAAATTAGGCTCTTGTGACTGGATAATCTTTAACAATATCTATAACAAGAGCAAACCTTTCTTGTATGGTTCAGATTTTGTCACCTCACCTAAAGACAAAGCTAAACTGATTGCTAAGAACTTCTCATCAATAATGTCTCTTGATTCCACTAGATGCGTTCTACCTGGTATAGCTGGCAAACATGTTAGTCCCTTACTTGGCTTTCGCATCACTCCAACTTTTGTATCTAAAGTAATTTCTTGCTAAGATTCTGCAGCTTGTGGTCCAGACAACATACCTGTTATAGTCTTGCAGAAGTGTTCTCAGGAGCTGTTGTCTACACTTTCAAAACTCTAAAATTTTAGAAGTGTTTATCAAAGTCTTATTTTCCAGCCTGCTAAAAGCGGCATCTGTTATCTCTATTTTCAAAAGTTCTGTATAGCAATCTGACCCGTCTAACTACCCTCCAATTAGTCTTTTTCCTATCATAAGCAAGGTTTTTGAGTCTTTAATTAAGAAACATTTAATATCTCATCTTGAATCTAATACTCTACTTTCTGATCATCAATATGGATTTTGATCTTCTCGTTCTACTGTTGATTTTTTAACAGTAATAACTGATAGGTTTTATTGTACATTAAATAGATGTGGAGAGGCTAAAGCTATTGCTTGCGACATTTCTATAGCCTTTAATAAAGTTTAGCATGTTGATCTTCTCCATAAGCTCTTTTCTTACCATGTATCAGGTAATATCTTTAAGATTATTGAATTCTTCCTTAAAACTTGTAGTATAAAAGTTGTTCTCAATTGACAGCACTTTTCTTCATACCTTGTAACTTCAGGGGTCCCTCAAGGTTTAATCCTTGGCCCTATACTCTTTTTAATTTACATTAACGATCTTCTAGAAGTTCTCCTATCTAAGGTAGCATTGTTCGCTGATGATACTACTATTTATTCTTGTCTTGAAAAGATGCCAACACTCTCCGATTGCTTGGAGGGGGAATTTGATCTTGAAGAGGATCTTACTTCTGTTTCAGCATGGGGCTCACAGTGGTTGGTAAACTTTAACTTAGATTTTTTCAGCTAATTGTTATTGCAACAATATAGATCCTCCTATATTTATAAATGATAGTGTACTTGAGGAGTCATCTACCCTTTATCTTCTATGATTAACTCTTACTTCCAATTTTTATATGTATATATATATATATATATATATATATATATATATATATATATATATATATATATATATATATATATATATATATATATATATATATATAAATTTTTTTTTATTCAAAATTTATTACATAGAACACATTTAGGGGATAGCAGCAGACAATTTCAAAAAAAATTTTTTTTAGTGGCACTCTAATGTATGGAGTAATAGTAGTCATGGCCACTCTATTTGTGGCTATGACTACTATTACTGTTTTCTTGTACTGCTTCACTAATGCAACACTTATTGATTTTAAGGTTTTTGTTGAAACCCTAGATCGTTGTTTTGAAAATGTTTGTGAGTTGGACTTAATTTTTCATGTTGATAAGGTATAAGTTACATTTTGTGCATTTTAATGTTTTTTAAATAAATAAAAATCTTGCATGCGATTAAATGTAATTTATAAAAATGTTTTTATAGAAATGTTTTATAAATATGTTGTCTACAGGTCCAATATATTTTGCAAGAAATTGTTATGGGTGGAATGGTATTAGAAACAAACATGACTGAAATATTAAGTCATATTGAGGCACAAAACAAGTTAGAAAAACAAGAAGTAACTTTTATTATTTTTGTATTTTATTAATGTTCTCTCTCTCTCTTTCTCTCTCTCTCTCACTCTTTCTCTCTCTCTCTTTATATATATATATATATATATATATATATATATATATATATATATATATATATATGTATATATATATATATATATATATATATATATATATATATATATATATATATATATATAAATATATATATATATATATATATATATATATATGTATATATATATATATATATATATATATATATATATATATATATATATATATATATATATATATATATATATATATATATATATATATATATATATATATATATATATATATAAAGAAATGTAAAATGACACATTATTTAATTGAATGATATTTATTAGCAGTATTCATGTGCAACTAGCAGCAAACAACTCATAATATGCGTTATTAGTAAAAAACTTATCAAATTTTATCTGAAAAAAATTTAAAAATATAAATTTATCTGTAAATAATATTTTTTTGTTTTGCTCGTTTTCAGTTATGTCTTGGCTTTTAGTAAAGGACATAGACTACATAACTTGTTACAATAACATAAAAAGTTCTTTTTTAAAAAGTTTACAACAGCAGGCACCAGAGAAGAAAAGTGAAGTACAGCCTGCATATACCTAAAAAAAAAAAATATGCATAATTATTAATTTACAATTTATTTTCAATAATAATAAATAAATGAAAATAGATTTCTAATATAACAGCCTAGCTCTACACACACTACAAGTCATTCAAAAAAGGTTTAATTCTTTACCTGTAGTTGTTCATATATGTAGCTGTATCTATGTATCTATGTATGTATATGTATGCATATATTTATTCTTTTCCTTAGAATACTTTCTTGTGTTGCATGTTAATTCAATGTTTATTATACTCTAGGCTGGTTTATCAGGTGGTACCACAAAAGCGTTTAATGCTGTTAAGAATATGAGCCCTAATCTGCCGAAAAATATTAATCTACCAAATATTTCGTTACCTCATCTCTCATTTAATAGATAGTTTATGTTTTATATTTTATTTTGTTTTTTTTAAAGATTTCCTGTGCAGTTTGGTTTCTTGAAGAAATAGTTTTTATAAATTTTTACTTTGAAAAAATTAATACTCATTATATTTTTTGTTATTTTTACAAATATAATAACCTTTACTCCGTATTCATATTTCTTAGAATTTAAAGTTCAAAAATCAATGAAAAAACTTAAATTTTACCTCACAGTATTGACTGTCTAAAAAATATCTTGAACTTTGCAAAATTTCTTTTCTCGTCAAGGACAAGAGGTTAAAATTTGGATATTTTAATTTTGTCAGATAACATCTTTGCCCACTTAGCCCTTCAATTGTGTAACAAAAAAAAAACACAATATTTGATCTTTTCAGCAACAGTTTAAATTTTAGGTGATTTTTTTTTAATGCATAAATTTATGTTGCGTGGCGATTTCTTTAAAAAGTTACATTTTTCTTTATCAAAAAATGTTTATTCTTTTTTAATGAATGTACTTAGTTTACATTATGTTATTTAGTAACTATCAGGACGGGTGACTATAAATAAAAAATGTCTTTTCGATCACCTATTGGTAGATTTTAATTTACTTGCTGTTCTTCAGCGACTGTTCTTACATCTCCCTTAAATTCAAAAAATAGAAATTCAGCTTCACTTCTATTTTGCTTATAAATAAAAAAATTCTAGAATTATTTAAAAATAAAGTTGATTGTTTTAATACTTATCGTGTTTGATTTCTAACATTCTCAATTTTTAAAAAATCGATTTTTATGACTAGCTATACGAACTGGTGACCCGTCTCAATCTGATTATACCAATATCAAGTAAAATTAAATTTTGAATCCAAAAATTAATCCAATCAGTATAAATGCGTTAATGTTATATAGCGTCGATTACATCCAGAAACGCCTTACAACGCAGCTACGCAACCATTGACACAGTTTCGTGACCATATAAAAGAGCAATAAAAAATATATCTACTAAGGAAAGCTGTCAATAAAAGTATGTTCAAAATTATTGTGGAACAATAATTAGAAGAAAAATTTTTACATTATATTAAAACTGGGTCGCATTGTTTTGTGAAAAAAAAATTTAGGATTGATCAGATCAGTAAAAAAGAAAAACCTAATTGAAAAAAAAAGAAGAAAAGCCTTCTTACCCTATAATTAATAAATTTTATCTAAGATCATATCAACAAAATATTATCTTCAATCGTATCACTGTTGAAATGTATATATATATATATATATATATATATATATATATATATATATATATATATATATATATATATATATATATATATATATATATAATTTTCAGGAAAATTTTCAGTGCATACGGGTTCAATAAAACAAAACAAAAAAAAGTATTTCAATAAAGTTATAGTCAAAAGCTTTCGTGTTTTAAGAGTTTCAAACAATTTTTTTGAAATACTTTTTTTTTATTTTGTTTTATTGAATCTGTATGCACTAGTGAAAATTTTCAAGTAGGAAAATTACCAGAAATTTTAAAATAAGTAATATAAAAAATGTCTCAAAATTCTTTTTCGTTTACTGCAGCTGATGCAAAAAATAAAAAACTGCAAGTAGTTGATCACTGTATAAAAATATATAATAAATTATAATGCACAACAAATCTAGAGTAAATGTAATAGGTAAATAATATTGTTAGACTTCGAAAACGCTTTTGATAAAGTAAAACACTAAATATTATTGAAATAAAAATTTAAAACATATGGCATAAGCGGTAAATTATATAACTAGATTCAAAGTTTTTTTACAAATAGAGCACATTTTTACTATTGGTAATTCAGATTCAGAATGGGTATCTGTTACCAGTGGCGTTCATCAGAGTTAGGTTTCGGGTCTCATTTTGTTTTTGCTATTCATTAACAACTTGCAAGAAGTTGTGCGAAACGCGTTTAAAATGTATGACGACGGTAGCAAAATAATAACCATAGAATATTGGTTTGCCTGGTACAACCAATCCCTTTCCATTCTCACAATCTGTACTGAAAGATTTAGTTTGAAACTTAGATCTTCCTAAAAACAAGACAGAAGTTTTAGGATCTAGATTGAAAAATAAAAATATGTTGGCTTCAAGTACATCCTTTTCTTGGTATCGATCAAGAGAAAAGAAATTTGTATTTTTCTTGTCTCAAGAAAGGTGACCTGGTATTTTACAGTGATGTTCCTAAACTTACGGCGTGTTTTAAAATAGAATATGCTCCTTTTTATCGATTCATCAAAAAGAGGCCTTAAAGCAGTACTTCTGCACAATGGCAATAAAGCGTGTACACGAAATAAATGTGTACTTTTTTTTAGTTATTTTTCTACTTTCACATTTATTTTGTGTACACGCTTTAAGTATGCTTTTATGCGAGTCGGACACTCGGTGCACTTAAAAAAATGTTACAAAAATCTTGAACTGGTTTTAAACAAACTCAGCTACTCAGACCACAAATGGTCACTGTGCGGGTATTTAAAAGTTATTTAAAAGTAATGCTGCTTGGTAAACAAAGTGGCTATACTAAATTCCCTTGCTTTCTCTGAATAGGACAGTCGGGACAGAAAGCAGCACTACATAAAAAAAGTTTGACCCTTGAGAAAAACCTCAGAAGTAAGGGTTAAAAATGTTGAGAGAAAAAGCCTTGTGGATCTCAAAAAGGTGTTACATTCACCACTTCACTTTAGGTTAGGGCTGATAAAACAATTTATTAAGGCATTGCTTAAAGAACGGGACACTTTCAAATATCTTCGTAGGGAGCTTTCTGGTTTATCCGAGGCAATGCTAAAGAAAAGAATCTTTGTCGGACCAGACATTAGAAAACTTATGAGAGATCCTAATTTTGTGAACAAAATGGAAACAAAAGAAAAAGCAGCATGGACATCCTTTAAATTAATTGTTACCGGTTTCCTAGGAAACAACAAAGATCCAAACTACAAAACCATTGTCACAGACATGCTCTACAACTTTAAAAAGCTGGGCTGTAACATGAGCATTAAAGTTCATTTTTTCCATTCACATTCTAGATTACTTCCTTGCAAACATTGGTGATGAAGTGAAGAGCAGAGCGAAAGATTTCACCAAGTCATCAAGGAAATGAAAAGATAATATCAGGTAAGATGGAACGTCAACATGATAGCGGACCACTGCTGGATGTTGAAGAGAAATAATAATGAACAAGTCCACAGCCGGAAAAGCAATAAAAGAAGCTTAGACAGAAAGCAAAAACGTTATTATAAGGACTTATAAGCTGAAAGAGAAATGTAAGTGTTCTTGAAATATAGTTTAGAAGATGATTTATACATTTTTTCAAACGTTATAAATTCTATAACGTTTGTAAAAAGTAAAAAATTGGTCGAATTTTGTTATTTTACCCAAAAATAATCCCTTTTTTTATGAGAAAACCTGACAAGATCGAAAAAAAACGAATTGCATTTTCAAAATCAGCGCTAAGAAATACATAAAAAACAGTTATCAAATTTCAAACAACTTTTTAAAAATATTTTTTTGCAGACCTGTGTAATTTATAGGTATAGCTATAATAATATAGTAAGGTATATAGGTAATATTTTTTTATTTTTTTTTTTATTTTTTTTTTTATTTTTTTATTTTTTTTTTTTATATTGTAGTTTATTCCGTCATCCGGCTAATTGCCATATGACGATATGACGCTCGGAGAGGAATAGGGGGTCTGCAAATGGCGTATATGAGGTAGAGGGCAGTAGGTCAATTACAAAAGTATGCAGACACTAAATTAAAAAATATATATTGTTGGTTTGTTAGATTAAAGGCGTAGTTACTTTTAGGGAGAAGAGGGTACCCAAAAAAGCATATTGCAAAATGTGGAGGGCGGGGGGTGTTGGAAAAAAAAGCGTACGTACTTTATGGACAACCCCTAATACTGACACTAATTTTGAGGGTTGGGTATAAGTTATATCGTATAACTATAAAATATAAATTATAATTTATATTTGCAGTTGATTTAAACTGCATGTTTAAACTAAGTATTTCATTTTAACTGTATTAATTAAAAATACTTAAAATATACTTTAAGACAGAGACGATTTTATGGGGGGAGGGGGTAACACCCCTCTAAAGAAGGTGATTTTCAAGTTATAGTCGGTTTTTTTACGAACTTAGTCGGCAGTCGACTATTTGACACAATTCAGTCGGTTCATTTTTCGTTTTCAAGACCTTTTTATTTTCTTTAAGAAGCTAGTCGACACTTTTTGAGGATTCATCCCTTCCCCTCTCATTTTATTCGTAGAATCGCCTCTGCTCTAAGATTTTTAATCTTACTAAATGAAAGAAATGATGGATAATTTTACAGCCAAAATGTTTAAAAATCTTCTTTATTTTGTTTAGATTAACAATCAATCTTTGCATTAATTAGTTAACTTTGCATTAATTAGTTAACTTTGCATTAATTAGTTAACTTTGCATTAATTAGTTAACTTTGCATTAATTAGTTAACTGAACTTACTAAATTTTTTTTCCTAATATAATAGAGAACGGAAGGCCTTGCTATTTGTGGAAAGGGTGAAAGTGATTCCAATTTTTGAGTGCTATTAAAACTAAAACGATTCTTTGAAATTGAAGAAAAGGTTAAATTGTCCTGAAAAGTAGCTCTTACTTAAAACTTAAAACCTAATCCTATAAAACTTTGCTCATGCAACGCTTTGTAAACTATCAGAAAGTATAAGGGGTTTACAATTCTACAGTTTGATAGCCAATGAATTATCAAATATGTCCGCAAAAGAACGAGTTTCAGTATGCATTCAGCGTGTTATTGAAAAATTAAGGAGTTGTATGGGGTTTTACCAAAAACATCAAAAGCACAACTTTGTTAAACCGTTGGATGTTTTGTGTCGCTGTTAATAAAGAATGGAGGCCAATATTTTTACGGATTGTTTAACATGTCTGGAAGTATCCTTTCCAATAAAAATAACTAATGATGATACTTTGAGTTTAAAAATTCAGCGTGATATTTTGATGAACAGTATTTAGGTATTTAACAGTATTTATTAAAATTATAAGAAATAAGAAAGTTATCATTCACTTTATGAAATTGAGAAAGACAGAAATGCGGTCCTGCGGGTTTA